GTCTCCCACCCGGGGTCTTCCCACGGTTCGGCTCCTGTGCTCATGGCAACCTGGGAGGTAACAGAGCAGGAAATATTTTTCCCATTTCGCAGATGAGCCTCACTGGCGCAGTCGGTGCGTTGCCGCTGCGCTTCCTGTCTACGTTAAGGTCCCTTTGACTGGGGTTGGGCGGGTGGTTTTCCCTTGAGCGGCCCCCTGTCCTCCCAGCTGTCAGCAGGGGTGCAGCAGCTGCCCCGCATTCCTTAGACGACCCTCCCCCGGGGCCGTTCCCAGACAGGCAGGGGCGTGGGAAGCCTCCCCAGCCCCTCCCGCCCCCCAGCTTTGTTTGAAGAGCCAGGCTGGGATCCGGAAAAGAGACGGTTTGTTTAGTGGGATTCTCCAGCGTGTCCGCTCATGGGCCCTTTTCAAAAATAGATTATTTCCACCAAAAGGAAGAGGGGAGGGGAAGAGAGTGAAGCAGGCTGTTCAGGGGTGGCTGGGGATGCCGTCCCCCCACCACGCACACCTGGCACGGAAATCTTGCCAGATGCTCCACGGTCTGCGTCTCGGCCACACTTCATGAGCACGGGGGTGGGCGGGGACTGCCAGCCTGAGATCCACCTCTGTGCACCAGGCAGGGCACCGCCATCCAGTCACCCACGTGCTTGTCTTCTGCCCGCTACCAGGCTGCAAAGTGCTTGAGGGCTGGGACGTGGCCGCCTCAGTTTCCCTACCTGTCGGTGGCCATGCACATTCCTCCTCACAGGACCCATGCGGGGACCGTGAAAGGACTCTGTCCGGGGAATCTCGTCCACCACGTGACTGCACACTGTCTTAAAAGTCGTTTTCTCTTGTCCCAGAATCAAGGTAGAAGCAGGCTTCCTCCCCGTGTCTCTGCTGTGGTTTAGTGGAAGGCGCCAGACAGACTTAGTTCAAATCCCAGTTCTGCCTCTTCTCTGCTGTGTGGCCTCGAGGAAGTCGCTTAACCTCTCTGGTCCTCCAGTTCCTATCCCACAAATGGGCTAATGAGAATGCCTACCTCACAGGGCCGGTGTAGGGATTAAATGTGAAGATGGGTATTAAAGCCCTCAGCGCAGTGCCTGGCATGTGGTGGGTCCTCGGTGACTTATAACTGAAGACACAACTCATGTCGGCGTGGGACTGTAGGGCTGGGGTGTGGAAGGCTCCTCAGGAGTCTGCTGGTTCCTGAGCTTTCACAGGCTGCAGCTCTGTGAGCACCCCCTTCGTACCAGCTGGAATCTTCTGTGTGGTCAGCCCCGCTGGGGGTCCCCAGATAGAGGTGGAGGCACCCTGGGGCCAGCTGAGGGAGGTGCCTGTAGGGAGCAGCCATCTGGGTCCCTCAACCACTTTTAAAGGAACTTTAGAACCTCAGCGCTGTTCTGCCCCTGGGCCTGGCAGGCTGCAGGGGACCGTCCCCTCCCCAGAGCCAGCACCTAAAGGCTCCCAGTCCCCACTCCTGCGTGCTGGCACCCTTCATGTCCCTCAGCTTGTTTCCACCCTCATAGCCTAGGGAGGGAGATATTACTACCACCCCCGTTTAGAGGTGCTGAGGGGACACAGCCCCAGGAGACCTGCTCACATAGGAGCAGGCCCTCTGCTCTCCCGGCAGGGGAGGGGCTGAGCCAGGTCCCTGAGTGAGAACCGCGGGGCTGCACAGTCTGCGGCCGGTCCTGCCTTGCTGAGCTGATCGTTTTGAGTCCACGTTGCACCCCCTTTTACCTGTGGGACCGCAGCAGTGTCCTGGGGCTGCTGCAATACCGCCACAGACCAAGTGGCTGAACAGGAAAACTTGATTCTCTCGCAGTACTAGAGGCCAGACGTCCAAAATCAAGGTGTCGGCAGGGCCACGCCCCCTCCGGAGGCTCCAGGGGAGGGTCCTTCCTGCTTCTTCAGCTCCTGGTGGGTCCTTGACTGGTGGCCGTGTCTCTCCATTCTCTGGCGAGGTCTCCACATGGCCTTCTCTTCCGTGTCCAAACCGCCCTCCCCTCTCCCTCATAGAGACGCCAGTCATTGGATGCAGGGTCCACCCTACATCCAGGGTGACTTCGTTTCAAGATCCTTAACTGATTACATCTGCACAGACCCTGTGTCCAGTGAGATCCGAAGTTTCCGGTGGACGTGAATGTCTAGGGGACACTGTTCGACCCTCTGCAGTGACACCGGGCACTTCCCCTCAGTCCCCCGTGCCTCTGTTTCCTCATCTGAACGTGGGGAGAAAACACACATCTCGCCCTTGTGAGGATGGAATCCATGGACTCACTGAGCCATTCACTCATTCACTCATTCACTCATTCACTCACTCACTCATTCACTCACTCACTCACTCACTCACTCACTCACTCACTCACTCACCAGCACTGCGCAGGGCCCGGGTCAGAGAGTCAGCAGCCTTCTGGAGCTTAGAGTGGCTGGAGGGAGTCGGGACATAAACAAGGACACAAGTGACCCCATGAGGTCTTTGCGGGTTGGATTTAGTCTGGGAAGATGAACCTGGTGACATTCGAGTACTGTCCACCTGCGGCCAGCAATCCGTGGTCCATCCTTCCCCCACGAATGTTGATTCTATTGCTGTGCAGGAAACAGTTGCCTGGCTGGTGGATGCCAGGCCGGCCGGCCGCCAGGGTCCCCCGCGGACGGCAGACTGTGACTGTCAGAGTCTTTTCCTCAGCACCGTTATGGGGCGGTTTCTCCCCTGTGCCAAGCCTTGTGCTGGGGCTGCAGAGAGGCCGGGGGGGTCAGAAGGCTCACTTACACTCCCACCTGGAGTCCCTTATCCCCTCCCTCCTCAAGGGCCTGGCACATGTCCCCTGGTCCCCCCAGGCAGCCCCAGTGAGCACCTCGCTGGATCTCGACCCCTGTGTGTGCAGGGCCTCTAGCTCCGTGAAGGTCATGTTCTCAGGTGAGGGGGCAGCTGTAGGATGGGAAGGACCACCCCAAAGCCCAGCATGAGTCCCCTCCAGGTGCATTTGGGCACGTGGAGCCTACTCCTTGCCGGGACCGCAACGGCCCGAATGCTTGAGGTTCGAAGGGTCTGGCACCCACCCCGCCTTCCAGATGTCATAGCGGAGGCCCCACATAGCCTGTGCGCCCACGTGGTGCGTGTGACACGTGTCACTCACTCCCCACAAACCCGCCTCCAAGGCTGGGAGGGTCGTCTTTAGCGTATGGAGTCTGGGGTCTGAAGCCACTGCCCAGGGACACATGCGAGTTCCTCTCCCTCTGGGGCCGGGCAGCCTGGCTGTTGGGGGTGAGAGTCTGGAGGCCGGAGCCCACCCCGCTGGTCCGCACTCTCCTGACAGGCTGGCCAGACCCCCACAGAGTGCTCCACACTCAGATCTCACAGAGATACTGAGCGGCCATGAGCACCTGGCCCCCAGACAGCGGCACGCCCACCCCGACCGGGCCCGGACTCCACTGGGTCCCCACGGGCACCCTCAGGCTCCTCTCATCCCCAGAACAACTCGGGAGGGGCACTCCCAACCCCATCCTGCAGACGAGGCTCTGAGGGGCCAGAGGAGGTTGGTCGAGAGTGGGGTTGGAGGCCGGTGGGGGCCTCTCCCCCACCAACCCCAACTCCTTGCTCTGGGCCAGGCCCTGTGTCCAGAGCTCCCTGGCCCTCTGAAGCAGTCTGCGTGTGGTCAGCAGAGTGATGGCCCCCAAAGATGCCCACACCCCGATTCCCTGGAACCTGTGACCGCGTTACCTTAGAAGGCTAAGAGACTTTTCCGATTGACGAGGCTAAGGAGCTTCGGCTGGGGAGGGTGTCCAGGCAGCCCAGTGCTGTCACAGGGGTTTTTATGCCGGGGATACGGGGTGCTCAGTCAGAGGGGGAGATGCGAGGATGGAGGGGGACCCTGAGCCAAGGACGGCGGGCGCCTCTGGAAGCTGGTGAGGGCCAGGAAACCGGTTCTCCCGGGAGCCTCCAGAGGAGCCAGCCCATTGACACCTCGATTTCAGCCCCGACACCGATTCAGAACTTCAGCCTTCAGAACTATAAGAAAACAACTTCGGCTGCTTCCAGCCGCTAGGCTCGTGGTCTTCTGTTCCAGCGGCCACAGGACACACTACACGGGGCGTCCCTCCCCCCCACCCGTGCCTGGGCCACTGCTCTCCCACCCGCAGCATCCAGAACCT